TAATCTTTAAAAGAACTCTAAAACCGATGATTCTGCCCCAGAAACAATAAATATACCCTTAATATCCAACCATAAAGTACAACTTAAGAGCTTCCCACCAACATTTTAAAGTACAAAAGTATTTAAAATGCATACAAAAAAGGATAGAAGGAAATATGCTTTTTTTATACTTTAAAATATAAAATATTGTTTTATAATACCACTAAAGAACAAAACCATCTCCAATATAGTCTGTAGCATAATTTAGCCTATGTTTTTGGAATCTTTTCAGAAATGAAAGCTCTCTTTGGAACTCTGAAGGAGTTAACATAATCTCTTCTAAATCCAAACTTTGGCCCTGCAAGGAAGGGCTCGAGGTATGGCTACAGCGCACTAAGAGTGCTTGAGCACTAGCTAACTCAAGACTGTGCGAATACATCACTGATGGAAATGTCACCTCCCATCAGCCTGCCCCAATGCAAATCTTAAGATTGCTAAGGAAGAGAAGGGCAAGTAAAGCTCATTTACAGAAGAAAACAATGAATAAAGTGTAGCAACATAAAGATGAAGATACAGAATGGAGACGACCATAGCCCTTCATCTGTCCAGCATCGCGTGAGTTAAATGTTCCTTGAGAAATGGAGAATACAAAGCTCCTGGGGCTGGCGCTGTGGTAAAGTGGGTAAAGCCACTGCCTGCAGTGCTTGCATCCCATATGGGTGCTGGTTTGAGTCCCGACAGCTCCACTTCAGATCCAGCTCTCTGTTACGGCCTGGGAAAGCAGCAGAAGATGGCCCAAGTCCTTGAACCCCTGCACCTGTGTGGCAAGACCCGGAGGAAGCTCCTGGCCCCTGGCTTCAGACTGGCACAGCTCTGGCAGTTGTAGCCAATTGGGGAGTGAACCAGTGGATGGAAAACCTCTCTCTGTCTCTCCTCTCTCTGTGTAACTCTGACTTCCGAATAAATAAAATAAATCTTTAAAAAATTAGAAAGCTCCTGTTTTAATACTATTACATGGAAAGCATCTCCTAATGGTTTAGAAATTTATTTTGTTGGGACTGACATTGTGGTGTAATAAAGCCACTGCCTGCAAAGCTGACATCCCATTTGTGTGCCAATTTGAGTCCTGTACTTCTGATCTAGCTACCTGCTAATGCACCTGGGAAAAACAGTAGAAGATGGTCCAAATGCTTGGGCCACTGCACCCAAATGGGAGACCCAGAAGAAGCTCCTGGCTCCTGGCCTTGGCCTAGCCTAGCCCTGGCTATTGCGGCCATTTGGGGGGTGAACCAGCAAATAAAAGCTCGCTCTCGCTCTCGCTCTCTCTCTCTCTCTCTTTCTCTTTCTCTTTCTCTATCTGTGTGTGTGTGTGTGTGTGTGTCTCCTCTCTCTGTAACTCTGACTTGCAGGTAAATAGATAATCATTTCTAAAAAAATTCTTTTCTTAAGCTGTGTAATCAATTCTTGAAAATCACGGCATCATTAGGATCCTAACACCTCCATTGTTCTTAAAAGGGAATAAACAGTAGGTACATAATGCACTGGAGTGAGAGACCACAGAGGGCAGGGATTAATTCTGGTGCCAGGAGCTACAGGCTTCCTGGTGGTGGCTTTAGTGGCAGGGTGTGGTGGTGAAGGATGAGTAGGATTTCCTGGGAGGAAGCCGGGACAAAAGCGGGGTAGGATCCTTCTGAAGTGAATGAACCTCTAAAAGGAAAAGAACCTCCTAAGGAGTTTACACTGTCTCCAGAGGGAGCTGGGGACACTGCTGTGGTTTCTCCAGAGGGGAGTGACAACTCATTTTGTAAAGATCAGTCTACGGGCTTTCTTCTTCCTTACTAACCTGTGGCAAATCTAAAACTTCAGAAAGCTTAGTGGTTAGCACTCGGTAACTTCAATAGACTCTCCTTCAGAATAGAGTTGCGGCATTGATTTCCCAGGCCTGTGGTATGTGCAAGGACATCACTTATCCTGCTCCTTATGTTTGCAGGTGAAAGGAGTGCTTGAGAGTAATATTCCTGGGATATTATCAGATGATGAAATATTACCTACGTGCCTTTGCTTAACGGGATACCCAGTGAAAATAAGCTGGAAATTTACAGAAGTTCTCAGCTACTGTTTGAGAGAGAGTTATATATAATTTTTCTCCCTCTGGGTAGACTATAATTAGGGAAAATAGCATATCGATACTAACGATTCCAATGGTAGGCCACTGAAAACCTTCTGTGACAGAGAAACAGGCCTTCCACGCGTCCAAGATATGACAGTATATGTAAGAAATCTGAAATCTCCACAAGGAAGCAAGCGCCTTGGAAGCAACCTGCCCTCCATCATTAGAAGGGTTCAGTCAGGGCTAGTCTGCCCCCTGGTGGGATCTGGGAAGCACAGGAGGGTGATATTTAAGAGGAGATAACCCAAAACCAGTCTGAGCTCTGTCAGCTTTGCTGTGTGACCATGAGCGGGGTACTCAACCTCTCCAAACCTTCGGTGCCCTCATTCACGTAATAGGGACAATAATGTGGTACAGCTCATAGTGTTGTTACGAAAAATAAACAAGAGGGGATGTGTAATTCAGTTAGTACTGTGCTGGCACAAGGAAACCTTCAACAGAAACCATTAACAAAAACTGATCATATTCTTATGAGCAGAGTCAAGTTCAGCATCAGGAGGGGATCCAGATGAATGCTAAGGCCCCTTCTTACACCAAAGAGAGTTTATATCCTGCACTGATGTCTTATTAGTGCTACAACTATCCTCTGCCTGCAAAGGCACCAGTGTGTGTTTGCTTAAGAATTAGCAAGCAGTCCAACACATGATAGAACAGGTGTAAAAGAAGTTTAGGGGCTGGCGCTGTGGTGTAGTGGGTGGGGCCGCCGCCTGCAGTGCTGGCATCCCATATGGGTGCTAGTGCAAGTCCCAGCTGCTCCATTTCTGATCCAGCTCTCTGCTGTGGCCTGGGAAAGCAGTGGAAGATGGCCCAAGTCCTTGGGCCCCTGCACCCGCATGGGAGACCCAGATGAAGCTCCTGGCTCCTGCTTGGGATCGGCACAGCTCTGGCCATTGCAGCCAATTGGGGAGTGAACCAGTGGATAGAAGACCTCCTCTCTCCCTCTCTCCGCCTCTGCCTCGCTGTAGCTCTTTCAAATAAATCTTAGGAGCCAGGTGCAAAAAAAAAAAAGTTCAGAGCACTGTCTACAGCACATGTGCCCCAAAGTGGTGGTTACTTCTGAAGAGAGGAAGCCTTTCCCCTGTGCAAATGTGACCAGATGACGAGGACCAGGCAACAGGACCCCCTCAGCACAATCACTAAAAAGCCAAGTGGTGGGAAATCTGTTTACATGGGTACCCTATCTTTCCTCAGCTTCTTTTAGAAAGGACAGTGAAATCAAATATTTCAAGTGTTTCTGCTTTTAGAGTAATTCCATTTTGTAGGCAGAATGCTAGCTGACCATGGCAGCCTTAAGTTATTTCTTGGGACTGTGAACACCTTCAGAGACTCCCTTAACCACTTCAGACCACCAGAGAAGGAAATAACTAATTCAATCAAAATATCTATATCTAACCAACAATTATTGTATTGATTTTCTGTCTTGTACCCCAGGATTGCAATGCCTCAGTTAGGAAAACTAGAATAGTTAAGGCCTGGTTCTTAGACAAGTCAAATAAGTCATCTGTAATAATCTAAAATTATATGGGGCTCAACTGTTTTTCAGGAACTTCAAGTGTATTTTCACTTGATCTTTATCAAAAAGGATAGGCACGGCTTACATTTTTTATATTTTTTGAAAGAGAAGGGAAAACAAAAATTTGAGATTGAGATGCTAAATGCATGGTTACATGGTTGACGAATGACAGAGCCAGAACCTAAGCTCACGTTTTTTGCCTGAGAAGCCAGGATATCATTGCCTAACATTACTTCTAAGAGAGCCTTATTTATGCTCATAGAATAGCTCAGTAGTTAGAGAATGCCATTCGATAAATATTAATGGATGACCTAAGTTTACTGTAATTCAGGACAATATTTTCACAGTAAGCTTTAAATTTTGACCAAAGTTGAATGAACGCTTTTAGTTTAGGTAAAAATACATTACATAAAGCTATATATTTATGTACAAGATATATAAGTGACAAACAACATGCCAGTGTCTCTCCACTAGAGCTAGAGTGGATTCAAACATTCTTATGCAAACGTGGCACAGCGAACAACTCTTCAATTTCCCGTTAAGTGAAAAGATGATCTTGACTTGAGTAAAACCTCAGGAATGGTATTAGGTCACTCTTCTCTGTCACTCTGGATATCAACACAATAAAGTAGGTAACTCCATAAATCATCTCCAGCACACAAACAACACCCTTTTGCCACAGTTCTGAGCAATACAAGCAAGCAGCCTTCATTTGCCATCTTTCACTGGGGAGTCTTCACCAGACGCTTTGCTGAGAGAGTTATGCCTTGTAATACCTGATGTGAGTCACAGGGATAGTTTCTAAGAAGTCAGAATGTGCTCCCCATAGAGACACAGCTACACTCAGGTACCCAAATACAGGTACATCATCGGTATACCTCCACCTTTTGAACAAAGATTACAGAAATATCCTCTGCCTTGATTTGATTAATTTCTCCAGAAGCAACATAAAAAAAGCATGTCAGAAATATGTGGTATTTGTAAGTTGGTCAATCATTTGATTAACACCTAAGAGAAATATTTGCTACTCTGTATTCCTGTTAAAATGGCATTCACAAAGCAAAATATTTTTCATACACTGAGGTTTTCCATATCATTTTCTTCCCAATACTGTCATTTATTTATAGAGACATGGACTGTCACATTGGTCAGTTTTTATCAGTTTTATTCATAACCAGTATTACTGCCCAAGGTTTATTTGATCTACACAGATGATACCTGGCGTGGAGTTCCCATCAAACACATCTGTGCCTTGAGGATCTGCAAGTTTTGCCAGTTTCACGATTCCTGACCTGTCCCGCTTAAGCGCAGTGCGCCATATGAAGGGCCCAGGCTCACCTTTGGCACGTGAGGGTTGAACTCCACAGCTCTGTGAATGGCCTCCACTGCGTTCATCTCGGCTGTGCTCAGGCCCCGCCGCGAGGCAGCCTCGGGAGAGAATCTGCAAAGCAGAAAGACAAACAACATCCAGTTGGGACCGCTGCTTGGGCATCCGCTGGGAAAGGCATCTACAGAACAAGGGCCCATAAAAACATAGCGAGCCGATGACACGAGCTCTCCAAACTCCTTCTACATGGAACCTCTGAGTGACTCCTCGACCAAGGCCAACAAAATCCCCAGCAGAAGCGGAGAGCGTGCTTGCATCTAATCACAGCGGGAGTGAAGTTCAGCTGTCAGGTCTGTCTGTCTAAATAGCTAATCTACATTTTCTACAAGGAACCTGCTTGGATGAGGGGAGGGAGGAAGGCTGACAAGGGCAGACGGTGTAGGAAAAAGAGAAAACTAGGTTACAGAAGAGCGCACTTGGTTAAAAACAGAACTGGGGAGAATTTTAAAGGAGGCTCCCAACCCCTTGTCAGTGCTGCCACGGAGGGTTAAGTTGCAGCTTCAGCAGCAGGCGAGCCTGCTCAGGACCGTACAGGCAGGGGCTGTGCACACCGAAACTGTGGGTGAGACACCTGCCCAAGTGAATGAAAAAAAAAACCAGACCATGCAATCTCTTTCTCACCTCACACCCAGGGCTAACTCCAGAGCTGTGCTTGGCAGGCAGACACCACAGGGGAAGCTGTGACAACCCTGGCCCTGCCCTCCCAAGCTGGAGTCGCTGTGTAGGGAGAAAAGATGTTGCAGTAGGTACTGGCGATCTACAGGATAAAAAAGAATGAAAGAAAATTACTTCGGTCTTGAAGTGCACACACACTTAACAGCAAACCTGTCTGACACAGCAGAGGCTGTTTTCCTTTCCTCTGCTTTTCAGCACTACAGAGGGTGGCACGGGGACATCGCAAGTGTTTATGAACTCAAAACAGTCAAGCCATCTCTATGCTTTTCACCTGCCAGTCATCCTTGGATGCTCAGGCAAATTCTAACTGCCATAGCCACCTGCCTGGATCAAACAGGCCAATGTCCCACTCAGCTGACATCTCAAAGCAGAGAGACCCTGGCTAGGCAGATAATTTGGAACTGAGGAGGCGGAGAATGGGCAGATGGCCATCCCCTCTACCACGTCACATGTCTGTACAAGGACCACTCAGTTACGGGCTGCTGCAGGAACAGTAGTATGCAAAAACTGAATTAGAGGACAGCATTTTGTTAAAGTCCTAAGCAGGCCTTTGTTATCTACTGTCTGGCCAAGAAAAAAGAAAAAAGAAGTCATCTCAGAGGCATGGAATTTCCTATAAATCTCTCTGTAGGGACCCATACACCCTTACAATACCTGGGGATATACGTTCCTTCCTTTTAGTACTGAAAGAAAAGATCAGCACGTTTTGGAAAATGCATGCTCATAAGCAGGGGTCTCCCAGACTAAGAGAAACTTCCAGAGAAATCCCTCAGAGGCAACACATCTCCTCAAGTCCTGTTGGGCATGCAGTATTGCACAAGTTATTACTCACTTACTTGTCAGAGACAGCTCTTGCTTTGAGCAAGGCAGCTGTGTAGCATATTGTTGCCGACTTTGGTAAGCTTATATCTGTTAGAGAAAAAAGAAAGTAGGAACTCTTGTAAGTCTGCAGGAACAAAAAGCAAAGATTTTCAACACACTAGCATTTTAATCACAGAAGTCCAATAAAGCACAAATTAAGAATTATGTAAGGCATACATTACACAAGAACTTCAGCTACATTACACTGCACCAAGGTGGAATGAAACAAAGTATAATTTGTATTTTTGTGAATAATTCAAGTTTATAATACACGAGACGCATACGTAGAGTTTAAGTGGAAAATGGCTCTTAATATAAAAATTTAAATATTACATGAAATCTGTGATACATAAAAGGCAAATAGGAACCCTTTGTAAATTACAAAAATTTCTCAACAATCATATGAAGTATCAATGTGAAGAAAAAAATAGATAGACTTTTGGGGCTGGCGCTGTGACAATAGGTTAAAGCCACGGCCTGCAGCATCAGCATTCCAGATGGGCATCAGTTCGAGTACCAGCTGTTCCACTTCTGATCCAGCTCCTTGCTATGGTGCCTGTGAAAGCAGCAGAGGATGATGGCCCAAGGGGGCCCCTATACCCATGTAGGAGACCCAGAAAAAGCATCTGACTCCTGCCTCCAGCCTGGCCTAGCCCAGCCGTTGCAGCTGTTTGGGGAGTGAAACAGCAGATGGAAGATCTCTCTGTTTCTCTTGCTCTGTAACTTCGCCTTTCAAATTAAATAAATAAATAAATCTTTAAAACAGATAGATATATTTTTAGTAACTCTACACAGCTTAATAAATTAGTCTTTTTTTTTTTTAATTCAAGGGGCAGAGAGATAGACACTGGCAAACAAAGCTCTCATCTGCTGGTTCACTTTCAAATGCCTGTAAGGGCTGGCTGGGCCAGGCTGAAGCTAGGAGCCAGGATCTCAACCCAGGTCTCCCATGTGGGTGGCAGAACTCAAGCTGAGCCATCATCTGCTTCTTCCCAGGGTCTGCACTGGCAGGAATCTGGAGCTGGGAGCCAAATCTGGGAATCACACTCAGGCACTCAGATATGGGATGCAAGCTTCTTAATCATTAGGTCAAACATCTGCCCAATCAATTATTGTGTATTGGTCAGATTTAAATGATATTTACATTTCAGGAATTTCAAGAAGTTCATATTCAGTTTTTAAGAATGTTTGTTAAAAATATAAAAGTCAAAATCAAGGAGAAATACATAAGTCATACATGTAATTTATAAAAGGCATGTATATAAAACCTTTATAAAAATATATAATTGAGTTCATTCAAACCAATGATAAATCTCCTTTCAGAAAAGCCTAATTGGTCATCCAGAAAATAAGTTTCCTTCAGTTTCATGGAAAATTTCAGATGCAGGGGCAGAGGCAGGTAACAGATTCAGATTATGAGTTTACCAGGATTCAACACAGGGTATACTGACAATAGACACAAAGAGGTCAGTCCATTGGGAAATTTCTTTTCAAATTATGAGTCCATCCTTTCCAGAATCGGATGAGTTAGTACTTCTTTAACACTTGTAACCAAGTTCACACTATGACACAGAGATACCTTCTTAATTCAGAACAGGTGAAACTATGCCATCTGCAGGTGCTGCAAAATGCACTCTAGGTTAGAGGAGTTAGAGGAGCTCTTGGGATACCTGGCAAGTGTCTCTTAGGGCTGTTTTCAGCTGAGAAAGAATTATATTACAGTAGGAATAAAAAGGAAAGTCCCATAATTAGCAATAGCTAAGAGCAGAGGAAAATAATCTCCCAAAAGAAAACCACTCTTTTCCAATATCAAGTATTTGCCATCAACTCCAGCCTGAGATATTTCACTAAAAGGGAAATTTCAGTGACATTGACAAACTACAATGATCAAAAGTACTAGCACAGAACTGAAAGGGAAGTAAAAGAACCCTGATCACATAAATTATATGCAAGCAAAATTTTGCCATCACACACGTATGAAATAATACTGTGCTTATGACCAGGAGAAGAATGCCAGACACCTGTGGCTTTGACTTGCTGCTTTTCCAACATCTAAATACTCAACAGCTTTCCAGTGTGGAAAATCAGGGCAGGAACCAGATTATCTTGTGTAGGCTCTACTCAGTGACTGTTATTGAAAGTAAGAAGCTGTGGATAATACACGTTCTACTTAAAAGTTCATAGTTTTTACTGAAGTTCATACTTTTTATTGTTTCCACTCTTCCTGTATGATCTGTGTTCCTTCTGCATCAACATGACATATTTCTGTGGGGTGGGAACCAATGAAAAGCCCTTGTAGGGCTGAGGTGGAACACAATGATCACAGTACTTCAAGGTAGAACAGCAAGAGTCTCACTTTTGATAAAGTAATCAAAAATTCTTGTTACGTAAGAGTTAATGTCTCAAAGAGAAAGAGCAAATTGCCTTTCAGTGGTTACCTAATCAGACAGGCACTTTTAGTTGGAAATGAAGAACTAGATTAGAATTGAGGTGCTGCAACAAAATACTAGAGATGCCTAATCAAAGGTGACCCTGAATCCAGAACTATGCCCTTCCATTCCCATCCTCAACTAGAAAAATGCAACATTATGACTGCTCTAGTACATGTTCACAACTTTTAAATTTTTCATTCCTAGAACGGGCCATCAAAGAAGGAGGTACCTTTCTCTGAAGGGAGGAGAGAACTTCCACTTTGACTATGGCCTTGTCTAAATATGATTGGAGTTGGCGAACTCAAGAGGCTTCCACAGCCTTGGCAGCTCATGACAAGAGCCTAGGGTGATTACTGATGCCATAAATAAGAATGTCAATTGTTAAATCAACAACAGGCGTCACTGTGCACTTATTCCCCATGTAGGATCTCTGTCCTTAATGAGTTGTACAGTGTGAGTTAATGCTATAACTAGTACTCAAACAGTACTTTATACTTTGTGTTTCTGTGTGGGTGCAAACTGTTGAAATCTTTACTTAATATATACTAAGTTGATCTTCCATATATAAAGATAATTGAAAATGAATCTTGATGAAGAATGGGATGGGAGAGGGAGTGGGAGATGGGATGGTTGCGGGTGGGAGGGAGGTTATGGGGGAAAATCTGCTATAATCCAAAAGTTTTACTTTCAAAATTCGTATTAAAAAAAAGTTTTCAAAATGTTTTGTTCCTATTCCTTTATTGTACATAAATTAAATGGTAGACATGTATAGGCATAATACTCTTAAAAATAAAAGAAATACTTTAATTAATATAAATTGGAGGAAGCAGGAAATGTAAAATCACATAGTGTCTAATGTTTCTTTCTTTTACTATTGCTATAAGACAATACAATCTCCTTCTCTTAAGGTTCCTCATTTTTGGTAAGAATTAAATCTAGGGTATTACTCGCATATTTTGTCTACTTTAGTGATAACTTTAGTGTCAGCAAGGCAAAAATTTATCAGATGCTTTTATTTTAGCAAATAAGACATACAGATCTACTTGGGTAGGCATTCAATATCAGGCACTCCACCATCTCCAAATTCACAATTTTAATATGAAGTATATAGGTAGACTCCATCTGTTCCCCACATTCCATATGTTTTCTCCCCATGTCATTGTTATGACTCAGCAGGTAGGCATCGTGTTACATGAATCCTGGCAACCTCTTCACTATGTCTTATACTCCCTCAAAATTTTCTGAGGCTTATGCTGAGTACACATTGCTCTCAATATCCTGTAATTAACAGAATACGAAGGAGCACACAACATTCAGTGAGTATGCAGTTAGGTGCCTGCCACATGTCATTCCATTCACTGATGGACTCTTCATATGGCAGTGAGCTCATACGAGTATAAGGGAGCTGGAAAATTCTCACTGCCCAGTGAACATATAGCTGAAGATTAGGCAAGAGGGATTTGCAGAAGAAAGAAGAGGCAAAAGGACACTTCAGGAGAAGAAAGAAAAGCCTCGAAGAAAATTTACAGGGAAGGTTTAGCTGAAATGCTTGCAGACTTCAACAGGTGCCTGTAAAAGTCTGAAAACATGGACCCCAACACAGAACGGTTTTTATTAATAGAGAGTGTTCATGGTGCATTACCCAATTACAAGCAAATCCATGCTGAAGAAACATACCAAGCACACCAACGTGAATTTATTTCTGCAAAAGTGACACCTCAAGAGGAGCCCCAGAGGGTCCTTCAGGTGTACAGAAGACGCTGTGATCACGGCAGGGGACAGTCCCATGTGTGTGACCGCCACCAAACACCCTCCAGCGGGACAAGATATGGAGGTGGGAGACATTGATGGTCCTCACCCGGTGTGGGCCCAGGCCAATATGTGTGCTTGTATCTTAGTTTTTAACAACAATGTTTGAAATGTTTAAAAAAGAATAAATTTTTAAAAGAAAAAATTTACAGATATAAATATCTTTGCACAGCTATCCAAGGTGATTTTGCCTTAAGTGTTATAAGAGTCAAAAAGTTAAATAATTTAAATATTTATAAAGTAAAAAAAGTTACAGTATGGTCAGATTATTACTGAAGCAAAAAATAATTTTTTTATGAATTTAGCATAGTGCTGAAGCATAGAGTGTTTTAAAAGTCTATGGTTGTGCCCGGCGCCGCGGCTCACTAGGCTAATCCTCCGCCTAGCGGCGCCGGCACACCGGGTTCTAGTCCCGGTCGGGGCACCGGATTCTGTCCCAGTTGCCCCTCTTCCAGGCCAGCCCTCTGCTGTGGCCAGGGAGTGCAGTGGAGGATGGCCCAGGTGCTTGGGCCCTGCACCCCATGGGAGACCAGGAAAAGCACCTGGCTCCTGGCTCCTGCCATCGGATCAGCGCGGTGCGCCGGCCGCAACGCGCCGGCCGTGGCGGCCATTGGAGGGTGAACCAACGGCAAAGGAAGACCTTTCTCTCTGTCTCTCTCTCTCACTGTCCACTCTGCCTGTCAAAAAAAAAAAAAAAAGTCTATGGTTGTGTAGAGTAACGTTTTGGCCTTCATATTCAGTCACCATCCATTCTCTGACTCACCCGGAACTGCCAGTCCTGAAAGCTCCACTCACAGCTAAGTTCCT